CGTCTAGAACCATTCTGAGCCTCGGAACATTCCATTCCTGAACCCTTTAAGTGAATGGGTTCTGGAATGTTCCTTATTTTTCTGAATTTCTATTATTCCTACTATTCCTATACTATTTTCTATTCTGCTGATGCCCTGGAAAATGAGCCAACGTCACGTGGATTCAGAAGAACCCCTTGCTTCATCAGGGACTCCAGAAGTACGTGGGTTGGTTTTACCGGAATGGAAGTCGTACAGAAATTGTGGAAATCGACGAGACACTCCTATGTATCCCGCCAAATATATCAGATGAAGAATGTTGACGAGAAAGCAAGTCTGGGTCTTCGGTATTATCGAAAGGAGAACAAGTGAAGTAAGTTCAAAGCTTTGCAGCTGATGTTACAGTAACCAACCTTTCAGGTGATAATGTTTCGAGTACCTAAAAGAAACAGTTTCACACTTCTCCCAATTATAAACGCATGTTACCAGGTACAGTACTGGCCAAAAAGGTATTCGCAAACGGTTTTTTGAGAGTAACTTTGCTGAAACTTAAGGGATCGATCTGAAAATTTTACTGTGCATGTCGTACACGGTGACGACAAATTGCGTACAAGGAAATTGCATCATTTTCAGAAATTTTTTGTTTTTTTCAATTTTTTCAATTTTTTCGTTTTTTCACTTTTTTCATATTTTTATATTTTTGGATATTATGGTTTCTAAGAATGTTGGTTTTGGCTCCTATGTATTTAAAACTGTTTACAGACATGGCCAGACCCCTCGGAAAAAAAAACATCTCTCAGGACATCCGTAAAGCCATCGTCATCGGCTTCAGAAGTGGATGTTCAAGGACCTCTTGGCGCAGCAGTTCAATGTTACTAAACGTGCCATCGAGAAGATCTTGAAGCAGTTTCGGGATGAGGTAATATTCGAAAATAGTATAGTTATGGAAAAAAAATGTTTAGGGAGCCTTGGTGGAGCGAAAATCGCCTGGAAGACCGCGTATCACGTCGAAGAACATGGATCGGAACATCGTCCGAGTTTCAAGAGAGGATCCCCAGAGGAGTTCTACGAACATTCAGATGGTCGTGAAGACACCAAATGAAGTCACACCATCCCTGAGAACCGTCAGAAGACGTCTTCAAGATGCTGGACTCCATGGACGACGGCCAGCTAAGAAACCATCGATCAGCAAGAAGAACAGAATCGCCCGCGTAGCATGGGCCAGAGCTCATCTCCACTGGGGACGTCAGGATTGGGCTAATCACGTGTTCAGCGACGAATCCAAGTTCAATCTGTTCGGTACTGACGGTATCAAGTGGATTCGCCGTCCGGTTGGATGTCGGTTCGATCCCAGCTACCAGCTCCAAACCGTCAAGCATGGAGGTGGATCGGTGATGGTCTGGGGCTGCTTCTCTGGGACTTCAATCGGCCCGCTGAGAAGAATTACAAGCATCATGGATCGCTTTGTGTATGAAGACATCTTGGAGAACACAATGAGACCCTGGGCAAGGTCTACTGTGGGCCGGGCGTTCGTTTTCCAACAGGATAACGACCCGAAGCACACCTCGAAGCACATCAAGGAGTGGTTCCGACGCCGCCACGTGGATCTTCTGGACTGGCCAAGTCAATCTCCGGACTTGAATCCGATCGAACACCTCTGGGAGCATGTCGAGAGACAGCTTAGAGGGGTTCGTGCCTCGAATGCCAACTAGAAGTTCGACCAACTCCAAGATGTCTGGCAGGCCATCCCGATGTCTGTCATCGACACCCTTCTCGACTCGATGCCAAGAAGATGTCAAACGGTAATCGACGCCAAAGGCTTCCCAACGAAGTACTAAAGCTATTTTATTCATTTTCTATTATTATTTTTCGTTTACCGGTCTATCCTAGATCTCAGAAGTCAAAGTTCCATTTACCGGTTTTTTGCAATTTTCATGAATTTTTCGATTTTTTTTCAATTTTTTGAAATTTTGACTATTCTTGTTGTTGAATCAGTTTCTTTTACCGTTTTAAACTTTGTCTTAAAATATCAGATCGATCCCTTAAGTTTCAGCAAAGTTACTCTCAAAAAACCGTTTCCGAATACCTTTTTGGCCAGTACTGTAAGTCCTTATCCGGAAACTTGAAAAAATAGAAAAATAATATTTTTTAAGAACCACGATCGTATCCGATGCTTGGGCTGAATAGTGCACGCTCTCCCCCGTTTCATTTCCGGACTGCAAGCCAGCGGAGCGCGATTGCATAACACGAGACGCAGACGAGAAACGAGGCGGCGGCAAATATGTCGATTTGAAACTTTTCAGCGTTGAATTGCTCGTTCTATTAAGTTTTACTGTGTCTTTATTGATTTTTACTTTGTTCCCCGTTTCTTTCTAATAAATAATACATTTTTCACAGTGTTTTGATTCCAGTTTCAGCAACGGACCGAGGAAAATCGTACGAATCATTCGTTTCGCGATTACTCGAAATTTGCGAAACCAAAGGTGCCGAAGAAAGAGCCAAAGAAGGAGGAGCCCGAAGGACAGGACATCAAGAAATTCATGTCTCCAGCTGCCACCAAGTTTCCAAAGAAAAAAGAAAAATTTTCCCATTTCCTCTCGAGCACAGAATTCAACCATTGGATGTTTTCAGTTTTCGGCGAAGTCTACGGTATTCTAATACTATCAACTGACCTACTATTTGTGTAATTAATTTTCGAATAAACAAGTTTGTTTTGTACCCCTTCTTCTGATCTCTTTGTACTCGTGTTTCTGAAAAAAAAGGTTTTCGAGGAATAAGATATAGTTGTAACATCAATGACATCAATGCGATCCACAAAAAGAAAGAAAATAATGATAAATTTGAAAGATTATTAATTTTAAAACGGTAAATATCACTCGAAAACCATTAAAGTGTGTTGTTTTTTTATCAATTTATCACTAAATTCATTCGTTGAGTTTTTTCTGATATTCTTGTTGTCGGCAGTAAAAATGTATCTCCTCTCTCATTTTTGAACTTTTTGGCTTAATTCTTGTCTTGAAATGTTCACAATATTCTACTCTATAATTTCTATGGATGATTTTCTAAAACATTCTATGTATCTCGAGAAATTCTGATTTTTCCTCTGAAATTTGCGTTTTCAGGCCAAAACTTCGAAATCTATCTCCTCCTCCATTTCTTGTCCATTTCTGCTCATGTTGTGTTTAAAATATCCGCTGCGACTCTGTTAACTATTTCTATGGACGAAATCTTGAAAAAAATGAGCATAATACTCTTTTTTTTCCCCAAGAAACATGATTTTTCAGTACAAAATTTTATTTTCTATTTTTAAACGACAATGCAAGCGCGCTCCGCTGAGAAAAAGGCTTGCAGGCCAAATTTTCAACTGGGGAGAGCGTGTAGTGTGGAATTCAACAAATGCAAGCGGGATACAACCATCGGTTCGTTAACCATAAAAAAAACTTTGTCGATCCGAGGAATGGAAGAGTTCACACTCAGTCAGTCAATCGAAGCGACATGGGGCGTCTTGAAGAGAAAGCTGAAAGCTCGATTTGATGACACCTGAACAAAGACTAGAAGGACATAATTCCAAGCTTCGCAACCATCTCATCTATGCGAGGAAATTTTTTAGACGCAACAAAACAATATGGGCAATCATGATCTATACCTCGGTTCCTCACAAGAGAATAGTGACAATGAGGAGGACCTGGATGAAGAGGATGAATCGTCCGACAGTGACAACGATGCTCATATTGATGATTCTCGAGAAAATCTTAAGTTCAGCTGTGTCAATTTTTTTCGAAAAGTTGTTACCTTCTAATTTTCTTGTGCTTCCACACCGAAAGAACTTAATAAAAATTTTTAAAAATCGAAAATTGTTTTTTTTTCTATTGCGCGCATGCTCATCAGCTCTGATTGTGAGGTGATCTATCGGACTTCTGAACTTTTTTTTTCTGAGAAAATTTCAAGATTTAAGAAGATTGAGAAGATTTATGAGAAGTATAAGAACAAGAAGATCCGAAATCGTGAGTTTGAAGATTTTGAATTTTTGAATTTTTAAATTTCTGAATTTTTGAATTTCTGAATTTCTGAATTTCTGAATTTCTGAATTTCTGAATTTCTGAATTTCTGAATTTCTGAATTTCTGAATCTCTGAATTTCTGAATTTCTGAATTTCTGAATTTCTGAATTTCTGAATTTCTGAATTTCTGAATTTCTGATTTTCTGAATCTCTGAATTTCTGAATTTCTGAATCTCTGAATTTCTGAATTTCTGAATTTCCGAATTTCCGAATTTCTGATTTTCTGAATCTCTGAATTTCTGAATTTCTGAATCTCTGAATTTCTGAATTTCTGAATTTCCGAATTTCCGAATTTCTGATTTTCTGAATCTCTGAATTTCTGAATTTCTGAATTTCTGAATCTCTGAATTTCTGAATTTCTGAATTTCCGAATTACTGAATTTCTGAATTTCCGAATTTCTGAATTTCTGAATTTCTGAATTTCTGAATTTCTGAATTTCTGAATTTCTGAATTTCTGAATTTCTGAATTTCTGAATTTCTGAATTTTTGAATTTCTGAATTTCTGAATTTCTGAATTTCTGAATATCTGAATATCTGAATTTCTGAATTTCTGAATTTCTGAATTTCTGAATTTTTGAATTTCTGAATCTCTGAATTTCTGAAATTCTGAATTTCTGAATCTCTGAATTTCTGAATTTCTGAATTTCTGAATTTCTGAATTTCTGAATTTCCGAATTTCCGAATTTCTGATTTTCTGAATCTCTGAATTTCTGAATTTCTGAATCTCTGAATTTCTGAATTTCTGAATTTCCGAATTTCCGAATTTCTGATTTTCTGAATCTCTGAATTTCTGAATTTCTGAATTTCCGAATTTCTGATTTTCTGAATCTCTGAATTTCTGAATTTCTGAATCTCTGAATTTCTGAATTTCTGAATTTCCGAATTTCTGATTTTCTGAATCTCTGAATTTCTGAATTTCTGAATTTCTGAATCTCTGAATTTCTGAATTTCTGAATTTCCGAATTACTGAATTTCTGAATTTCCGAATTTCTGAATTTCTGAATTTCTGAATTTCTGAATTTCTGAATTTCTGAATTTTTGAATTTCTGAATTTCTGAATTTCTGAATTTCTGAATATCTGAATATCTGAATTTCTGAATTTCTGAATTTCTGAATTTCTGAATTTTTGAATTTCTGAATTTCTGAATTTCTGAATTTCTGAATTTCTGAATTTCTGATTTTCTGAATCTCTGAATTTCTGAATTTCTGAATCTCTGAATTTCTGAATTTCTGAATTTCCGAATTTCCGAATTTCTGATTTTCTGAATCTCTGAATTTCTGAATTTCTGAATCTCTGAATTTCTGAATTTCTGAATTTCCGAATTTCCGAATTTCTGATTTTCTGAATCTCTGAATTTCTGAATTTCTGAATTTCTGAATCTCTGAATTTCTGAATTTCTGAATTTCCGAATTACTGAATTTCTGAATTTCCGAATTTCTGAATTTCTGAATTTCTGAATTTCTGAATTTCTGAATTTCTGAATTTCTGAATTTCTGAATTTCTGAATTTCTGAATTTCTGAATTTTTGAATTTCTGAATTTCTGAATTTCTGAATTTCTGAATATCTGAATATCTGAATTTCTGAATTTCTGAATTTCTGAATTTCTGAATTTTTGAATTTCTGAATCTCTGAATTTCTGAAATTCTGAATTTCTGAATTTCTGAATATCTGAATATCTGAATTTCTGAATTTCTGAATTTCTGAATTTCTGAATTTCTGAATTTCTGAATCTCTGAATTTCTGAATTTCTGAATTTCTGAATCTCTGAATTTCTGAATTTCTGAATTTCTGAATTTCTGAATTTCTGAATTTCTGAATCTCTGAATTTCTGAATTTCTGAATTTCTGAATTTCTGAATTTCTGAATTTCTGAATTTCTGAATTTCTGAATTTCTGAATTTCTGAATTTCTGAATTTCTGATTTTCTGAATCTCTGAATTTCTGAATTTCTGAATCTCTGAATTTCTGAATTTCTGAATTTCCGAATTTCCGAATTTCTGATTTTCTGAATCTCTGAATTTCTGAATTTCTGAATCTCTGAATTTCTGAATTTCTGAATTTCCGAATTTCCGAATTTCTGATTTTCTGAATCTCTGAATTTCTGAATTTCTGAATTTCCGAATTTCTGATTTTCTGAATCTCTGAATTTCTGAATTTCTGAATCTCTGAATTTCTGAATTTCTGAATTTCCGAATTTCTGATTTTCTGAATCTCTGAATTTCTGAATTTCTGAATTTCTGAATCTCTGAATTTCTGAATTTCTGAATTTCCGAATTACTGAATTTCTGAATTTCCGAATTTCTGAATTTCTGAATTTCTGAATTTCTGAATTTCTGAATTTCTGAATTTTTGAATTTCTGAATTTCTGAATTTCTGAATTTCTGAATATCTGAATATCTGAATTTCTGAATTTCTGAATTTCTGAATTTCTGAATTTT